CACACACACATACATTCACTTGCAAAATAATAATACTTCTACGAGGGAGGCATCTCTTGCTTGCCCATAGCAACAAACAAATGCTCCCTACCATTGGCTTTTTCTTTCTTTTTCACCTTGCAAGCAAAGGGATGTGCTTTGCTTCCCCCCATTCCTCTCATCTCATCTCCTTGGTTCTCTCCCATTCCAAATGCCTTGCCAATTTCTGAACAAGCACGAAATCACTTTGTGAATTGCTCCTCATGTCGTGTCACATCACGGTTCACATGCGAAGATGCGGTGCTGGGTAGATAGAAACGGGCGCGTTCGAGCAGGAGCAGTGCAATTCTGCCATCTTAGAGCAAGTACAATAGAGTTGAGTCAGCGGGCTATAAGGAATAAACTAGTATATTTCTGCTTAGTTGGAGGAAAGAGAAGAGCAGAGAGAAGGTAAGCGGGCTCTTCGTGAAGAGCCAGCTCTAGCACGTGCTCCTAGGCACTTTGTGAGAATGAAAGGTGGGCCACATAATAAAAAAGTAGTACACTTTTTTGATCTATTACTGTACATGTTGACTATAAGATGGACTGTAGATGACATGGCACTGGCTTATAGCCAGCAGCTGGCTATACTATTAACCATGCTCTTACCCGAGCCGCCTGACACGCCCCCATTATTGACACTGACTTTCAAAATCTGATTGGGGATCCTGCGCAAAGGCCAGGCCTCCATCTATTCTTTTCATGCGCTGCTTTTTTTTTCTCCTCCCCTTTCCTTTTCTCTCTCTAGCTTTGCCTTTTCCTCGGCCCCCTTTTGTATCATTTCCTCCTCCTTCCTCCTCCTCTACTCCAAATCAATCTAGTACTAGTACTACAATGGTCGTAGGGTCATGTGGTTGATGTGTATGGGGATGAGGAGCCGCTGCTTTGATTTGAGGTGCCCAGCCCAAACATGATTCTGTGATTATTTTTCTGCGCCATTCTCTCTTGCAGCAGCCGGCCCTCTCACCAGTCTCATGCATCATCAGGCTGTTGAATCTCTGTAGAAGAAGGTGGGCAGCCCCCAAGCCCGCCCACGCTCTTTTTGTTCTCCCACCTTTTCCTTTTGTTCCTCCCCCTCTTGACCACTCCTCCCCTCCCCACCACCACCATTGCCCGAGTGAGATCTTCTCCCTTTAAGTAGATAGAGAGAGACGTACTATATCCAAGCTATATTGCTCTTCCGTCTTGTAGGGTTGGTTCTTGGCATTGGGCTCGAGGACTGGATGCAAACAGGCAGTTGGTGCTTCTTGCCAGCTGCAGGGAGGTGGTACTACTAAAAGTGAGTTTCTTTTGCCTGCAATTTGGTGTTCCTGACTCCCCGGGGTTCAAGAATGAGTACTTGCAACTATACTTGGGTTTCAGCCCGTCCTTCTGCTTCCCTGCTCCTCTCCTTTTTCTGTATGCTTTTCAGCTTTATTCTTGACTTGATGAGAGGCAGAAACAAACAGGATACTCTACATTTTAGTTTCTTCCATAGCAGTGTGATTAGTATGCGTGTACGTGGTGTGATGGCATTGCAGTTGCCAATTCTGGACTCCCGGTTCAGATTGCCACACCAGAGCGCTTATCCAACCAAATCTTGCTTACGCAAAAGACAAATGCTAGAGTGGAAGGTACCAGACGTGCCGCAAGTTTCTTATATTTTTCTGCCTCTTCACATGTAGAACGTGATACGTCTTCAGGGGCGTCACATGCGCATGGCGAGCAGATAACTCAGATAAGGACCTGATGAACTCAGCCGTATTTGGTGCCTGCATTTCCCCTGCCTAGGCGGTGGAGCGCAATTGAAGAACCAAACCAAGATCACTGAAGAGCTGTACGAGCGAGTGGTCGGTCAGCTAGCTCGATCGCCATGAGCAGCTTCGCGGGTCAGCAGTCAAGGCCGTGGATGGGGGACGCCGCCGCCGCCACCCCGTCGGGCGACGCGCGGGACGACGGCGCCTCCTCCATGAAGGACCTCGGCTCCTCCACCAACGCCAGCGCCATCTCCTTCGGCTTCGCCGCCACCGCCATCCTCATCGCCATGTTCCTCCTCATGGCCATATTCGAGCACCTCATCAAGCCCGGCTGGGCGGCCTCCCGGGGCTCCCGCGGCGGCAGCGACAACGGCGACGGCGACGTCCACGGGCGCCACGCCCAGCCGCCGCACCCCGGCCGGCACCCGCGCGACCACGGCTCGCCGGAGAAGCTCGCGCCTCCGCCCAAGGTAACTAAACAAAAGATTCTGGCTTCCGCGAGCTGCTTTACTTCCGCTCATGCGTGGCCGTGCGTTCGGTTCACGTGCACCGTGTCAGTGGTGACAAGAGGACGTACGCGTCGTGTCGCGCTCGTGTCTGCAGTAGCTGCTTGACTACGTGCGTACGGGCGCGTTGCTGTCTCACCTGAACCTGAATCAATCCCTGATGATTGTCTATTTTTTGCACTGCGTTTGCAAATGGAGGCGGTGGTGGCGGCGGCGGACCTGACGGTGGTGATGCCGGGGCAGCGGTACCCGACGTTTCTCGCGCAGCCGGCGCCTCTCCTGCTTCCTTGCACGAGAGAAGGCGTGCGTTGGCCGCCTCACGATGACCATCGCCGTCCCTTTCTGCCGCCATGACTGTCTTCGGGCGGATACGTGCGTGTCTGTCATGTTTGCCTGTAATCTGTATAGAGCTAGAGCGAGTGTATGGTGAGAAACGCCGGAGTTGCTGGTATGTGCGCGAAGGAAAATGCTGGACCGATGGTAGTAGATGAGCAGCATTCAATTCATGTCCAGTTAGTCTCGCCTCTTGGTCGAATGCCTTTCTTCATGTTATGATCTTCCATCTGAATGAGTGGATCGAGTGGCATTCTTCTAATCGGTTTTCCTTTCTTTTTCTTTTCTGCGAGTTCTTCTAATCTGATGAACGGTGCCTCAAAAGGTTCCTCCTCAAATAGCAGGAATTAAAGAAAGTGGAGCTAACGGAATCCTCAAACTTAGGGCATCTCCAATAATAGCCCGCAAATTTTCTTCCGCGTCCATCAAGAGACAGGGGACTAGTCCGTGAACACGGACGTAGGAAGACAGTAGCCGAATTTCAAACCGCATTTTAACTAACCAAACAGAATTCATGCAAAGCGGCCGATATTCATCGAAGTTTGGATAGAAAATAGCACACATCATCTATACATAGCAAGCAAATTAAGTGTAGTACAACAATGTCTCTAATTCGACTAGATCCCAGATGTCCAACAAGTTTTTCATGAACGAATCATGACGTTCCACACATACTCCCCCTTCAACTTCATCCAACAGTGTGTGCACGTAAATGGTTTGCCGCTCTGTCCTATCGTACACCACGACGGTGCGTGTGGACTACATATAATGCGTAGACCAACATTGAGTGAATGAATCAATCAAGAAGTTGAGCAAGAGGAAGTAAAACCTACGATCTCGTTCATGTCCGCATGCAATAGCCACCTAGCCTCGAGCTGACTAACTAAGTTACAAAACTAGATAACGCTGATCCGGATAGTGTGCCAGTAGTACGACAACGAGCTCACGTTGCGTGGTTGAATGATGTACATGTCGTAGGGCGCAATGTACTTTCGTGCGTGAAACCGCACTTGCTCGCAGAAGGGCTCCCCTCTGCTCCTGCCTATGAAATCCGCGAATACGACCAACCACGCATCGCACAACAATTCATCCTCCATGGTCGAGTAGCTCACCATATTCCGTACTCTAAAACGACATAGCATTTGAAAATAAGCTCAATGCCATTTGACCAAACACTTGTCGGGTGTGGTGTCTGCCATGGAGGTTGTCGACAGTGGGCGGAGTGTATCTGAGTACAAATGGCTCCAGGGTGAAAAGCTTCATCGGAACGGCGAGCAGGCGCGTCAGTGTTGGTTGCGGACGTCCGGCAATGCCTTTGTGGCGGCCGGAGACGAACAACAGCGGTGACGGAGGTGGAGGGTGCAGATGCAAAACAAGGGAGAGAAGGGGCGGAGTGGAAGGAAATGGGACCGAGAGGGAGGATTGTGTGAGGCGGGGGTGTCGGAGTCCTACATGTCGGGTGTCCGGACTCCCGCAAACCTCCCCCACTTTGTCTCCAATTTGTACGAGAAATCATGTCCGGACCGATACAGGTCGGGTTGGATGACTTCCGTGGTCCAGGCAGAGCGGTCCGGACGGTTGCAGGAGGTTTGCGATTCTTCCTTGGAGATGCCTTTAACTCCCCAAAAAATGCAGAGGCCGGGGTATTCCTTCTTTTCGAAGAAAAAACTCCCCAAAATATGCCAAGGCCGAGGATATTTCTCCTTTCCGAATACAACTCCCCTCAAAATTCTGCAAAAACAAATCATTTCAAACTGAAATTGGAAATTCATTAGATGCCATGTTGCGTAATTATACATAACAATTCATAATTAAACATCATACTTCTAAAATTAAGCAAGCTAGAACGTTATTTATGTATGAAAATGATCTAATTAGTGCTAACAACAGGCTGAAAACGAGCTAAACCTCCTCCTTGGAGGAGGAGGAGAGGTTGGAGATAACCAGCGCGGATCCGGAGCCTCGTGGGTCGATATCACCGATGTTTGCGACAACTAGATGCCCGACCCTTGGCCTACAGGGAATTGTCATAACACTTTTGAATGTGAAGGTGGTAAGTATGGAGGGCCAATATCGCAAATGAGCTAAAGGTAGGTACCCACTCTCTTAGTCTCTATTTTTTTTGAAAGCCTCTTTGTCTCTATTTGCCACTGATACAACCTTTCACACAATCTAATTTACCTAGGTTCTTTAATTAAAGATACTTTGCATGTATAAAAAAGGCAACGGGCAATATTATAAAGTACAACTCTCTCTGATCAATATTAATTGTCGCTCATTTAGTACTAAAATTAATATAGATCAAAAGGAGTAGTAGAAAGTTAGTTGATGTAATATACAAAGTTGAAATGGAGTAAATGAAGCGAGCGTGGAGTAGTGGTGATATGTGTAGCACAATTGTCCATAGTCACATCCACTTCTCCTAGGAACCGCACCTCCACCTCCCAACCGCACCTCCTAGCCGCTCCTCCACCAAGCTGCCGGTGGCCACTCCGGCTCCGCGTCCACACTGCTCATACCTCATCGGCTGCCCTCCGACGATCTCTCCGTTCCCACGTCTTGGGATCCATCATCTCTCTCCCATGGCACTCGCGGATCTCAACTTCGACATCGGGTAAGACTTTGCCGCTGAGGTTTGGAGGAAATGGGTAGTCCCCATCAACTATGAGGATGGAAAGGATCTCGAGGAGTTCCTTCTGGTTGCAGAATTCACATGATCACAACTCCAGCTCATGGAGGAAACTGTAAGCACAATTCACTTATCCTGCTTCGAAGGGAGAGCATCTCTTTTTAAAGTCAAATTACTTCAGAACTGGTCGTTTAAGTTGTCTGTCTCCTCCAAAGAAGTGGTTTTTTTCAATCATCAAGGGTGGTAACATCTCTCTCCCTCTCCTGAATTCCTACTTTGGGAAAATGGAGGTCCTAACTCCAGCTGGGAATTAGTACAATACCTCAAAGAAAAAGAGGATGCATGGACACATATCTTTCGACGCCACCCTAGAAAATCCTACATCCAAGCTTTACAATCTCCCATAATCTATTCGAATTCCCATAATCCGGATCCTAGATCCACTAGAGCCGATCCGGTTTCTCCTAACCAAGCACGATCATCGGGCCAAAATCATCTCACCGGAGCCAATGCCATTAATCATGCAGTTACTACCAACAGGGCAGGATCAACAGAGTTTCAAAATCCCTGAACCATGTTATGTGTCTGTTGTGTTCTCTCAGTCCACATTAAGCCCAACTGCACGAATAGGATCAAGTGCAGGGCATGTAAGCGATGGGGCCACATTGCCCGAGACTGTTACTCACAAACTAGGCCAAGCCCAACTACTGAGATAAGCCCACCACCTAATCAGACGCTTGCGATTCCGAGGCAACCCTCCACTGTTCCCGCGACATTGACTAATTGTGCAGTCATTCAACCTACCAACCAGGGCTTTCCAGTTAATTATCTTGGATAGACGTCCCGGGTTGCCTGCCACAATCACAGCACCTCCAAAAACTCCATTACTCTCCGCCTCCAAGCAACCACAATCCAACCAAATCCACCGTCACCAACATTGCTTACTGCTGCATCAACCACATCGATGATCCCAGCGACAATGGTTGCATTCCCTTTCAACCCCACTCCTTTCGTACCACCAAACCACCAAAGCATCCAGGTTGAGGGTGAAAGGATCGATATAGTTGACTAGAGGGGGGGGGGGTGAATAGGCAACTAACAATTTTTAGCTTTTCTTTACCAAATTAAAGTTTGCATCAAAGTAGGTTGTCTAGATAGGCAACTAGGTGAGCAACCTATATGATGCAAAAAACAACAAGTGCACAAGCAAGCAAGGGAAACAACACAAATAAGCTTTGCACAAGTAAAGGCACGAGATAACCAAGAGTGGAGCCGGTGGAGACGAGGATGTGCTACCGAAGTTCCTTCCTTTTGAGGGGAAGTACGTCTCCGTTAGAGCGGCGTGGAGGCACAATGCTCCCCAAGAAGCCACTAGGGCCACCGTATTCTCCTCACACCCTCACACAATGCAAGATGCCGTGATTCCACTATTGGTGCCCTTGAAGGTGGCGACCGAACCTTTACAAACAAGGTTGGGGCTATCTCCACAACTTAATTGGAGGCTCCCAATGACACCACGAAGCTTCACCACAATGGACTATGGCTTCGCGGTGGCCTCAACCGTCTAGGGTGCTCAAACACCCAAGAGTAACAAGATCCGCTAGGGATTAGTAGGGGAATCAAATTTCTCTTGGTGGAAGTGTAGATCGGGGCCTTCTCAACCAATCCCGAGCAAATCAACAAGTTTGATTGGCCAGGGGGAGAGATCGGGCGAAAATGTAGCTTGGAGCAACAATGGAGCTTTTTGGGGGAAGGGGTAGGTCAACTTTGGGAAGAAGACCCCCTTATATAATGGGGGGAACAATCCAACCATTACCCCCCAAAGCAGCCCCACAGAGAGAGGTACTACCGCTAGATGGGCGGTACTACCGCTATGGCCAATGGTACTACCGTCCCACCTTGCGGTACTACCGCGCAGAAGAGGGGAGCGGAGGATCTAGACCCAGAGCGGTACTACCGCTGGGGTGGGCGGTACTACTGTTGTGGCCAGCGGTACTACTGTCCCACCTTGTGGTACTGCCACGCAGAAGAGAGGAGCGAAGGATCTGGACCCAGAGCGGTACTACCATGGAGGTAAGGGTGGTACTACCGCCTCTACTACCGCAACTAGTGCCGCAAAACCCGACACGAGAAAAGGAACCCTCGAGTCGAGGCGGTAGGAGCACGGAGCCGCAATGGTACTACGACGGAGGGCTTCAAGCGGTACTACCGCTGTGGAGCGGTACTGCCACTTGTAGCACTCTGGCGATACTACCGCTGGGACAAAACGAAGCTCAAAAGAAGGGGAAAGAGCTCTCCATTCAAGCGGAAAGGCTCAAAGGGTGTGACAAGGATGTGTACGTGTTGATTCCACCCAAGCCTTACCAAAGCGGACCCCCTCTTGATAGTACGG